TGAACACAATTAAATTAATATGATGGGCAAAAGATCCATATGGTTTTAAGAATCCAATCTGTAATAGTGGGGTACTCCACCTTCAACTGTGGACTACATACCATACTATCTTTATCGAACCGACCTAGTGTTTCTCATGACCCATAGTCCAAGCAGGGGTTCATTAGCGGGTCACCAAAGTCAAGTCGATGAATCAAGGGGTCACAATCTCAGGATTATAGGTCATATCCCTTAGAGACGAGTCAAGGTCATCACGACCTGATGCGACCACAGCTCTATGGTGCATAGGGGTATCTCTCGCACATGCATACGCTTCACTCAAAGGTAGATATTTGGCTTTCCCGAACGATCTATCAATATGCATGCCGTGTGATGGAACATGGATGACGTTTTGGCCCTCGTCTTAGTAGGCCACCATCACACACAAGGGCAGTCCCTCGGCTCACTCATCAGGGCATGTTATCCGACCTTATTAAGGGCTAACCCATAAACCTTCATCAGTTTGTTCTTCATGCACAGTTAACATAGGTTTTTCCCAACCGACTAGTCTAGATCGTTAAGCACAGATCGATATCAGCAAACCATCGTTTATTTAATATTGTCCACAAGAGACCACACTCTCATTGAGTTCATATTCCACTATATTATTTCATTTTACAAGCACTCACAAGGCCTTTAAAGGCCACGTAAACCCAACACTCGCATCATAATCTGAGGATGAACTTTACGTGATGCACGCAAATTACTAACGATTTCAAAAAACGGGTAGGGGCTTGTCATCCGAAGTGAATTACCCAAAAAAAAATAAAAATTGCTCTTGATCATTTTGATGAGTAAATGGGGCATATTCAAGATCAATAACAATGAATTCATTTTGGGTAAAGTATTGATCAGGCTCATGAAAATGTCTCCTTTCAGGGTCCGAATTATATTTAGCATATACTTCTTCATCATCAATACCGCCATGGCCAAAAGACTTTCAAGAGAAAGGAAAATGGGCAGAGAGAAAATTAAAGTGCAATGGCCAAAAGACTTTCAAGAGAAGGGGGTGCGATTCTAGAGAGAGAGGGGAAGTGTGCAATTTGAGGGAGGATGAGAGGGAAAGTGAGATTTCTAGAGAGACGGAAATACGCAATTTCAGAGAGAAAATCAAAGTGCAATTTCCAGAGAGAGAGGGGAAACGTGCGATTTGGATAGGGAGAGTCTGAGCATAGAAATATAAATTATGTTTTTGAAAAGTTGAATTTTTTGGTTTTTAAAAAATCGAAAATGAACAATTTCATTTTTATTTTTAAATTTTTTTTTGTTAGGATAGTGAAAAATAGATATACGTATAATACCAAAAAAATTAAAAGTAAACATGTCATAACAATAAATATAAGAGACATATACATTATCTTTTGTTTTTTTTTTTTTGAAGCAAAACAATACAAATCCATAAATATAAAAATTCATCCTTATCCAATGTCCTTATTTACGAGGCATGGAGGGATACCCAACGTTGACCTATGACTAAATTCTGCACCATTCGAGGTAATGGACGGTGTGGATGAATGCAGCTTTACTTATGTTGGGCTAGTCTTTATGCAGCTATCATTCTTTTATAAATCTAAGTTTTGATGAAGTTTCTAAATCCTTCTCTGGCACTTTTGGTAAAAAAGGAAATCTCCATGGCTCTAAAAGCAATTTCAAAACCAACAATAAAATTTGAAAATAAAAAAGGTATAAATTGTGTGGATCCATGAACACTTATTTTTATGGTGAAATATACGGCCTAGATAATTTGTTGCAATATACATTATTTTTAGAGCTTTAAATTTTAATTTTTTTCACAAATATAATGTTCAAGCCGAGATGATCATTGTAAAGGTTTTTCAATGCTTGAATTGTAATTTTCAATGAGCAGTGAGATGAAGCTTTACTATTTCGATAGGGTTGTGAACCAAACCCTATAAAGTCCCAAAATTTGTGTCCTAAACATATATGTATATTAGGGTTCACCCAAAGAAACCAATAGACCGAGGTTTGAAAATTTGGCAATTCAGATCGGGAATCGTTGACACAAATCCGGATCCTTCAATATATCAAAAATTGGCTAGGTCCCCTTTCGAACCGGCTGAATCTTTGACAAAACTAGCCAATTCTATGATCGAATGTGTCAAGTTGATTATGGTCCGAACCAGTTTTAATGGAAAATTTTTAGTAATTGCATTTTTCTTAATTTTTCTTTGTAAGTACACTTTTTGAAAAAAAAAAAAAAAAACAAAGGGGCCACACACACAACCAATCATACCAAATGATGTCACCCTCACCAACAAGTGTGCAAACTTAACAAGGGTGCAGTTTATATAGAGCATAGGCTCTAAACATTCAAATTAGAGCCTACATTCAAATAGTATCGAAAAATGTGGTTTCAATATTGAAAATATTTGTGATAGCTTTAAAATATATTTTATCTTTATTTATAAAGTTTAAAGCTTCAAAAATAGTTTAAAGCTTCAAAAACTTGAAAATCTTCAAAATTGATGGTCGAAAAATACATTATAAAATACACTATTTTTAAACTTGAAATCCATTTTTTTTCTCATGTCCATGCATCTTGAAGTCGAGATAATCAATTTGAAGATATTTGAGTATCAAAATAACATTTTTTAGTAAAAGTTTTTAGACAAACTCTAATTTGATTGTTTAGAACCTCGACTCTATATAATCTTTCCCACTAAATAATGGGATGGTTTTATAAATGTTTAAGCTTCAATAAAACTTCCATGTGGAACAAATTGTCTTTGGGTGTCTCTATACTAACAACGTCCAATACTAGCAATCTCTCTCTTCCCCTTTACATCTCTCTCTCCTTCTACTAACAACCTCTTCTACTCTCTCTCTATTAACTACCTCTTCTACTATATTTGTTCCATATAACTTTTTTTAAAAAATCAAAATTTTTACTAACAATCTCTTTCTCCCTTAGCATCTATCTCTCTATTAACTACCTCTTCTACTATATTTGTTCCATATAGCTTTTTTAAAAAAATCAGAACTTCTACTAACAATCTCTTTCTCCCTCGGCATCTCTCTCTCCTAGCACTCACAATGTCTTCTACTCTCTCTCCCTCTATTAACAACCGGTTCTATTAAATTTATTCCATGTAGCATATTTATAAAATCAAAACTTCCAAGTTAATATAAAAAGGGTGCAGTTAGTATAGAGCCGAGGCTCTAAACAATTAAGTTAGAGCCTACCGTCAAATAACGTTCAGAAATACGATTTCAATACTGAAAATCGTTGTGCCTTAGAATATATTTCCATATTTAATTATAAAACTTGAAGTTTCAAAAATAGTGTAGATTGAGCATATCTATGAAAACTTGAATAATTTAAAAATTGATGGTCCAAAAATACATTACAAGATGTAGTATTTCCAAAACTTGAAATATATTTGTTTCTCAAGTCCATGCATTTTGATGTCAAGATGATCAATTTGAAGATATTTGGACATCAAAACAACATCTTCTAGTGTAGGATCTAATTTGATTGTTTAGAGCCTAGGCTCTATATAAAATTTTTTCATATAAACATAAAAAATTAAATTGAATTAGAGAGATTTATTTTATCATCATCATGTTGCATTTTAATCTTTATTTTGACTTTAAAATGAATTTAATAGACCCCAGACACTCAACATGAGACTCGTACTGACATTTCCATATTTTTTAACACAATAATAAAAAAACATAATGCAATTGCTATAATTTCTATTAAAAATCTAAAAAACTGGGTTTTAAAAAATTATAGTGATTTTGTGACCCATTATTCGATCCGGATTGCCGATCCATCGATTCGATATAGTTTTTGGAATGGCCGATCGCTATCACCGATCCATTTTTTTAAACCTTGAAATAGACAATATGCTCGATCGGGAACATAAAAGCTTTTGGCTGTAGAGAATGTCATCCGATAATGCTGGTAACTTAGTAAAGAACGCCATAGTCAGCCAGCAGAGTAAACTCCGCTAGAGACTTGGATAGTGTAACTCACAGTGCTCCCGCGGGAGCACCGAATGCTTTGGCCTGCCATGCTCCATTCTCCACAGACCCTAACTTGTCCACGTATCACTTCAAGAACCTCCCACTGGATACACAGATAAGCCTATCCTCATGTGCACATCATATTTCGCCACGTGTCCCTGGAAATCACCAATCATCGCTGACCTGGAAGCCCTCATCTATTTCAAACTTTCTCCAAAAACCCAAACCTCAGTTTCAGTGAGAGAGAGAGACGAAAAACCAGAAGAGAGAGAAACAATACAGTGAAGAGAGAGAAAGGAGCATGGCAGTTGCAGCATCAACCCTCTCCCTAACGGCGCCGGTAACTTCCGTCACCCCCAAGACTCCGTTCATCAAGCCCCTGAATCCGATAGCCCTGATCCCACTCCGGGCCCAGGCCACCAAGAGATCCCATGGTGGAGCGCTCATCGCCAGGGCGTCACTCAAGGAGAAGGCGGTGGCGGGCCTAACGGCCGCTGCCTTAACAGCCATTATGGTGATTCCTGACGTTGCCGAGGCTGCTCAGCCCGGCATCTCTCCCTCTCTAAAGAACTTTTTGCTCAGCATTGTGGCAGGGGGCGTTGTGCTGGCCGTTTTACTGGGGGCCGTTATTGGAGTGGCTAACTTCGACCCCGTTAAACGGACTTAAGGAGAGAGCGAAAGCCACATTCTTTGTTCCTTTTTTTCTGTATCGCCTCTCTCTTACCGTTATGTAATATGGCGTTATTTTAGGTCGTGTTGTATTTAGATTAATCTTGAGAACTTGTTTTCTGAATTTCAAGTTTCAGTTTTACGAATCTCTCTCTACAAGAAATTAAGAGAGAGATGCGTTTCTCTCTCTAGAAAGGATACGCAATATGAATTTATAAAGTTTTATCCAATCTCAATTGGATTAGAATAAACAGAACTTAGAATGGTTTGCCCTTTTGTAGAAAATAATATAGAGAATTTAGATTTTTGGATTCAGTTCAAATTATATTGGATTCAGTTCAAAGTATTTTACGTATCAAGTCATTGTTGGAGAGTTATCTGTTT